CCAAGTTCCTTCGTAACTTCAGAAAAAGGTTTCAAAATATTAACAAGGTCCTTCATTAAATCCCATTCTTTATCTGTTAATTGTAATTCTTTTAATATTTTTGTATCCTTTTGAGTATCAGGTGCAGTAGAGATATTTAATATTGTTAAAACAATATCTATAGCATCCTTAATAAGCAAGAGGCATTTCCAAGCTAGAAAAGATGAATTCCAATGGGTTGATATATCTATTTTGGCATGAAGGTATTAATATTTCAGTTTAATACCATTTTTTTTTTAAAAAAAAACCTAGCAACTTGACGAAACTAGTATAATTGCCAAGATTTTTAAGCAATGATTATGTAAATGATTTGAGCAGTTATACTAGAGAGGTTCACCAATTCAGCTTTTATATTCAAAAAATTTTTTAAAAAATCTAATCAGCTGGGTTATTAGGCTATGCAAAGTTAGTTTTTCATTTTGTATAATATCGAATCAGGAAATTGGGTCAGTCAGTCATTCTTTTTTTTTTTGCTCCGTAAGGTAAAACCAGTAAAAAATAAAAAAAAAAAAATAAATAGTAGAAATCAAATAATTGGCAAAATTGGCACTTAAAAAAAAAAAAAAAAATTAAAATTAAAAAAACAGGTTATTTGGGTTATGCAAAATGAAAAATCAACTTTACATAGCCTTAAAACTAATCTGTTAAGTTTGTATGGTTTTAGTTATACAAAGAATTAATAATAAATTATATTTTGATCAGAAATTTTTAACGTTTTCTGTGCATCTTCAAGTCGTTCGTTTTGCTTTGGTGCTATAAAAAAATTAATTAATCTCGAGCTCATGCTATAAATATTTCAGCCGGCATCAGACCTTTTCCAACAACAAGGTGTAAAGTATAGGCTGAACAAGGAATTCTTACAACCTTACTTATGTTATTGATTGCTGCCTTTATGTTGATTCTGTTGTCTGTCGTGATCATGTATATTTTTCCTATAAGACCCCAATCTGTGATAATGTTTTCTAGATTTTTCCAGATACTATCAGCAGTATGTAGATATCTAATGTGAGTTAAAGAAAGTAATATTTCATAGATTTTGAAGTCAGAACTAATCTACGAACAGGTAACTCCAAGAAACCCCTGTCTATTGCAGGCTGTCCACAAATCTGTAGTAAGTGAACAAGTTATCGCAGTGTTTTGTAACTTTTTCTGCATTTATTTGGCATACTGATTATATATTATATGAATCATTTGTTTAACGCTTCTTTTATTGGGCAACATAAATATTGTGTCTAATTCTTTTACAAATTTATGAAAAAATATATTTGATACAATGCTAATTGGCAGTGTATTGCAAATAATAAATTTAATAAGAGCTATAATGAGCTTATTATTTTTTGATTTGTTATGTGGGTAAGTGATTTCTATGAATGAATTAATTTTAGTTTGCGTAGGCTATGTAAAATAATAAAGCAAATTTAATTAAATATTAAATTTTTTAATTGCAAATTAATAATTTACTAAATTTGTTTACTACTTTGTTTTTGTCAGGTGGTAATCCAGGACCATCTTGTGTAATACCGTGTCTGCTTGAAAGGTAAGATATTAAATTTGATGTAGAGCCTCTTGAAACTTTTAATCAAATATTGCATTTTTTATTTGAATTATCTAACATATCACAAACAGCATATATAACTTCGATATTAACTGTTTTGTCATGTTGTTGGACTATTTCAATTACTTTTTGCTCTTTGAAGTATTTTCATACCCAGCTTTGTTTTTTTTGAACCATCTTTTTGACTTTATTTAGTCTTTTTTGAGGTAGGCGGATTAGAATTTTCATTATCAGTTGTATTTCTGCTTTCTGATACTGGGCTATTCGATCTTGTAATAGGATTTGAAAATGTTTTGTCTAATGGCTGAGCTAAAAAGTATGATAGCGAAGTATTTTCTTCTTCCATTAGATATTACTAAACGAGAAGCTTTACAGAATATCAGGATAATGATGCATTATTTATAAACTTGCAATTCAAAGAGCTAAGTATTGGGTTATTAACCACAATAATTTTTTTTTTATTGACTTCGAATTCTTTAGTTTTATATATTTTTAATCTTGAAAACTTTTTAATTATACTAATTATATTAATATTTCAAATAATTCATGCAGATATAATATTTGTAAGAATTTACGCCAGTAGATCATATACATAAACTGAAAATATATGGTCTTTATTCAATTATTTACAATTATTCATACTCAAACTTGCATGATTACTTATTCATCATATGCTACAACTAATATTTTCTTTATATCTATATGCTAAATTTATGTAGATAAGCTTTTCGTACTTTAATAACTTTTTTTTTGATATAATTCTTCCCAAAAATTTTTTACTGCAGGCTGTTTCATAACTCTGGATCTTGTAGTTACTCCAATGCTGCTAAAAAAAAATTATTTGGAAAGCTCACGATTAATATTGTGTAAATAGCTAATGTTTTTCAGGAATCTATTGAACTCCTGATATTCTTAATTCCAACAATCTAAAGTAAAATTAATAATTCTAAAACTCTGACAGTTAAGAGATTAAATAATTAGGTAATATACTTTAAAAAAAAGTATGTTTTATATATAAGTAGAAAATAGATAAATGGATCAAAAAAACCAGATTCTAAACCAGTTTATTTGGAATTTGATTGATAGTCAGGTCCTAGTTCAAAATTGCAGTTTCTTAAAAACTATTCTAAAAGATTTAAGTCCAAAACTCTATTTTTATTATATAG